CAGCGACGCCATTAACATTAACAGACCCCTTAATATATTATGTTTAGTAAATCAGCTTAGTCCTGGTACTTAACTCATATCGATGGATTATTTCCTTCTTCTAACATTTTTAATAGCCACAATGGCTATCAATTACACGGTAAATGATGTTATATGTTTTTTATGCATATATCTAGTGTATGTAGTAATACTATAAAATATGCATTTGAATATGAACTTGAAAAACATACTAAATTATATTAATTATAGTTGGGATCTAGAAACAATATATAAAATAAGGCTAATATTAGGCCTGAAATTTCTTGTGCTTTTTATTTATTTAAGTTCCAATTTCTTATGTAAAATTATTTTTGTGTTTAAAACAAAAATGCGAGCAGTGGAACTCCGCTCTCAATTAACACTTATTTTTAAAAGTTGGTGGAAAACACATTTAGAGAAAAAATACTTTTCAAATCCAGAGCTTCAAAGGGTAAAAAGAAAGGTTTTTGAATTATCTCAAGTATATTACGATTATCCCAGTATTCTTTCAAAGCCTTTAAAATCACCTCTTTGATATTCCTTCCCTAAAAGTCTCAGAGAATGAAGAAAACAATGTAATCTAGGTTTAAATTTGGGTTTCTCCTGTGTTTCAGATATTTATGTTTGAGCTTTCTCTTACTGACAAACCACTTAAAGGGTTAGTGTTACTTTGAGGTTTTATCTATGAGATTCGTGTCTTTGGGGCTCATTAAGAACATTTCCAAAGATTACAAAGTCAATAACACCTAATTGCTGGACTGTGAGAAAGGTCTTCTTGAGTACATAAAATCTGTGGCGGTCCACAATATACAATGGGTAGTTTAGATCCCAAATTTTATCACAGTTAAGTAGCAAACAAATTAATAATGTTAGCTGGGCTCTCTTGGGATAATTACGACTGCGTAAAAAACAGCTCTGAAATTTTGCAGATAGCATCGTACCTATTTTTTGTTCTCTGATATTAACAAAAATGTATTTCTACTTTTTTAGCTATTTATCTCTTTTTCTATGTTGCATGCATGACTCTCTCTTGTTCTCTTTAGAGGTTTTTGGACTAAAACTTGCAATGTAACAAAACATTATTTTCAATCTGCATAGAAGACATGTATCACCTGATATAACATTATTTTAAACTGTATTTTGTGTTTTATTTCACTCTTGGCAAATGCCTACTGTATATTTTGATACTAACGGTCAATTTTATTCTCATACTCCTGGCTGGTTGAAAGATAATTACTGAAGAATTAGAGGGGAGACTAGTTCTTTTATTTTATTTTATTATGAAAAAAAATTTTGTTTTAATGTTTATTTATTTTTGAGACAGAGAAACAGAGCATGAGTTGGGGAGGAGAAAAGAGAGCGGAAGACACAGCATCCAAAGCAGGCTCCAGGCTCTGAGCTGTCCGCACAGAGCCCGATGCGGGGCTCAAACCCACTAACTGTGAGATCATGACCTGAGCTGAAGTCAGACACTAAACCGACTGAGCCACCCAGGCGTCCTGAGACTAGTTCTTTTAAATCACCAGACTAGCCTAGTGTCGAGGACATTAGGACTCTTATGTGCTGGGCTAAAAGGTAAGTTCGCAGACTTTATTTGGGGGACTTGGGATAATGTGATCAACAGCTCCGGAGGAAAGGTAAGGAGAGGGATTCGCTAGGCACGTATCATGTAGCTCGTGTCATCCTCATCACAAAGCCACAAGGCGGGGTCACCAGCCCCACTGTACACAGCAGAGGGAACTGAGATGATGTCAGTATTAAGTGGATGGAACTGGGAGGGAACTGAAGTCTGTCAGCCTCCATGGCCTCTCTCTCATGTCCCATATTTTCCCATTGTGTGTCATTGCGAACGGGGCTCATGTCGTGCATGAGTCTTGGGGAAAGTCAATATAATTGCTCTGGGGCCACACTGTCTGGGTTTGAATCCAGCTGTGCTATTTGTGGTATGACTCTGGTAGCCTAGAAACCCCCTCTGTACCCCACTGTCTCCTCTGTAGATGAGAGGAAAAGCAAGAATGCCAGCCTCTTAGGGCTGTGTGAGGACAAGAGCTAAAATGCAAAATTTATGATAGTACCTACTTCCACTAAATGTGAGCCATACCTAAGTATTAGAAGTATCCTGGGGTGTCAAAGTTCAACCTAATAACCTCTTAGGTTCTTTGCTGTAACACTGAGGATGCTGTTACCACAGAGGCCAAATATTCAGCAAGAATTTAAAACATTAATATTTGATTTACATGTTCTTAAAAATGGAATTCAATACAACAGTGACTTTAAAGAGTTTGACTTGGGCACCTGGGTGGCTCAGTCGGTTAAGTGGCTGACTTTGGCTCAGGCCACGATCTCATAGTTCGTGAGTTCGAGCCCCGCATTGGGCTCTGACAGCTCAGAGCCTGGACCCTGCATCCCATTCTGTGTGTCCCTCTCTCTCTGCCCCTCCCCTGCTCATGATCTGTCTCTCTCTGTCTCTCAAAAATAAATAAATGTTAAAAAAAAAAAACTTTAAAAAAATAGAATAAAATAAAGAATTTGACTTGGGGTCTGACACCAGATAGGTTACAGTTATAGAAAACCACATGTTATAGAAAATCACAATGTAGCTTAACTCCTCTTTGATAATGTATTTGTGAATTTGTGCTTGAAAATACTAACACTGTATTGAACTGTTTCCTGGGGGCCTGAAGGGGGTACTCAAGCATCTGAAGTATCTGAGAAACTTGGAGTGACTTGTTTCATGAAGATATTTTGGCCCTTTGAATGTCTAGTGTGAGTACCACCCAGTAGCTGTAACCTGTGTGCTAGTGAGATCCATTCACTCTCTGAATTAGCAAGTTTTCCTCCTGGCACTCATGTATTCGTTTCCATTCATTACAAATAGAAAATGGGAGGGGCGCCTGGGTGGCTCAGTCGGTTAAGCGTCTGATTTCAGCTCAGGTCATGAGCTTGAGGTGCGCGAGTTTGGGCCCCACATCAGGCTGTGTGCTGACAGCTCAAAGCCTGGAGGCTCCTTCAGATTCTGTGGCTCCCTCTCTCTCTGCCCCTCGCCTGATCACACTCTCTCTCATTCTCAAAAATAAATAAACATTAACAAAAAATTTAGAAAAAAAAGGAAAATGTATTTCTAGTAAATTTCGGGTTAACTGGATTCCATTTAACCAGAAACTGTCGTTAACTGGATTATTTCCCCACACTATCTTCAAAGGGAACACCACGGCACGTCAAGCTGTATCAGAGATTTAGTAGGACGCAGGTTCAGGGTTTCGTGCAGAGGTATTTGGTGTGAACGCTGTCACACACATCTCCAGTGCAATGCAGATAAATGTTCCAATTGATGGCAGAGCTGTGTGGAGTACTGCGAGATTATGGATCATAAAAAAGCATTTACATTCGATTTTATTCAGGAAAACAAAAGAGCAGATTAATGAAGAGTAGAAATAACCCTGCATTTTCAGGGCTGAGGAAAGAGAGTGATAGAGTTTGTTTCGGCTGGAGCTACCTTGTATTCTAGGTGGCCATCAGGTTAATTTGTACTACTTCGAATGGACGTTTGAAAATGGAAAATCAATTTTTGGATGCAAAATCGTCAACTGAATCTTCTGGGGAATGGAATGCTGCCGTTAATTAAACTCTCTAATTAAAATGTCAGGCAACCCACAGGTTCCAAATTCAACAGTCTAGATTTTTTTTTAATAAATCCTGAGAGTCTCTCTTACCCTAATACACTATGATGTTTTAAAAGTAACTTGCTGTGTGGGTTGGAATTTCCAACAACTCAACAGACCTGATCTTACTTAATTGATCTAACCTTATTTAACTGCAGATACCTTTTAAAGGTTGCCACTCTGGGACACCTGGGTGGCTCAGTCTGTTAAGCATCTGACATTGGCTCAGGTCATGATCTCACAGTTTGTAAGTTCGAGCCCTGTGTCAGGCTCTGTGCTGACAGCTCAGAGCCTGGAGCCTGTTTCGGATTCTGTGTCCTCTCCCTCTCTCCCTCTGCCCCTCCCCCACCTGTGTGTGTCTGTGTGTGTGTGTGCGCGCGCACGCGCTCACTCTTTCTCTCTCTCTCTCTCTCTCTCTCAAAAAAAAAAAAAAGCTCATAGCTGCATTCTATAGAGTCAGGTGTTGTATAATATAAATGGCAGCCCAGGGGGCAGACAGCGCTATGACTGTTGGAAGAGTTTTCTGTACTCTGGGCAGGTGCATCTAAAACAGATACTACCTGCACTATAAGCACTACAGAAAAAACCTCTCTGTCGCACAGTAGCCCAAAAGCAAGGTTCCTCTCTGCTAAAGCATGATGTAGGTTTCAAAAAGTAGATTTTAAAATTAGGGCCCAGGGTTTAAAAACTCTTATCACACACACCTCCCTTCCATAAATATTCATTATAAAAGTCTACTTTTAAACATTCCCAGACATGGAATGTCTACTACCCCCTTTGGTTATGATCATCAAACTGATAGAATTCAAATGAATAATGCCATGTTTTGTTAACCTAACTTGTGTATTAGAGAGAAGGAAGCATGGTTATTTCCTAAAGACTTACAGAAGCCCATGGACCAAATATACTTCTGGTTCCAAGAGAATTCAGTTTGAAACCCTGTCAAGACCCATGGGAGATACAGTATGCTAAAATAGTCCTACTTTTCTTCTGGTTCTTAAAATTGACCAATGGGAATTCAACAGGAGCTTCAAATTTATTGATAGCTTAATAACATAGAAAAGGATTCCAACTGAGACCATTTCTAATTTTGAAGTACGATTAAATTCATTTTCAATTAGCAGTGATCAATCATCAGAAATGCACAGTAGCATTCTTTTATTCGGCATATCCAAGTATCGGTTTTATAAACTGGCTGAAAAAAAGTATCCACCCAGAATTCCACACTCCTCACGATAACAGTGAGAAGGAAATCTCAGTCTGGACTAAGGGCCCATTCTGCGTGTGAACCTTTTTTTTCCCAACAATAATGATACTTACCTTTTGATTCAGGGGATAAATATGTCTGATCACTGACTACATCCGTGTCTTTGTTGCTTAGCTGCAGGTAAACCGAAATGTTTCATTACTGAGGGCAGATAATAGCAACTAATTAAATGTTTAACAGAGAAAAAAAAATAAGCTACTTACCACAGCTGTATAATCACTTAATGAGAAAGTAGGATCTGTTGTCAGGTTCATTTTAGACTGCACAAACAAAGGCTTTAATTTCTGAAAGGCACAAAAGGTATGTATTGTATTATCAAGAGGAAATGATTATGAAGTCAAATGATGCAGGAGGTTCTTTGGCCCTTAAGTAACCAAGATCTGAAAACTGAGGTTCTGATTTATTTGCTTAAATATGGCTGGGGAAATCCTTTCCTTGAAACCCATGCCATAGACATACCCTTCCTTATTTGGACTACCTTGAGAGAAAATTCAAGAAAAATGTTTTCTTCAATATCTTTTCTGACTCTTCTTCTTTTTCTTTCTTTCTTTATTTTTTTGAGTACGGTTGATACACAACATTACATTAGTTTCAGGTGTACAATGGAATGATTTAACAAGTTTACGCATTATATTATACGATGCTTACCACAAGGATAGCCACCCTTGGGCCCCTGCTTCCACTTCCTTTTGATGATCTCCACCCCATTTGGGGCTTAAAATTTAATGCTAGAACTCCCCTATGACCCAGCAATAGCACTGCTAGGAATTTACCCAAGGGATACAGAAATGCTGATGCATAGGGGCACATGTACCCCAATGTTCACAGCAGCACTCTCAACAATAGCTAAAACATGGAAAGAGCCTAAGTGTCCATCAACAGATGAATGGATCAAGAAGATGTGGTTTATCTATACCATGGAATACTACATGGCAATGAGAAACAGTGAAATCTGGCCATGTGTAGCAACATGGATGGACCTTGAGGGTGTGATGCTGAGCGAAATAAGTCAGGCAGAGAAGGACAGGTACCATATGTTTGCACGTATAGGAGGATTAGGAGGAACTTAATGGAGGACCATGGGGGAGGAGAAGGGGAAAAATAGTTAGGGAGAGGGAGGGAGGCAAACCATGAGAGACTCTTGAATACTGAGAACAAACTGAGGGCTGGAGGGGGTGGGAGGGAGGGGAAGGGGGGTGATGGGCATGGAGGAGGGCACTTGTGGGGATGAGCACTGGGTGTTATATGGAAACTAATTTGACAATAAACTATTTGTAAAAAATAAAATAAAATAAAATAAAATAAAAAGTAAATAAACCTTAAAAATAAAACTGTCAGTTAAAAAAAATAAAATTAATTGCTTAAAGAAGTCTTTACTGAGCATGGTAAAGATATAGAGATTTGGATTTTTCTGATAGAATTTAGAACATCCCACAAGACACATAAGAAAAAAATTAACCAATTCATAAGAATGTGAGTAGAAAGGGCACCTGGGTGGCTCATTTGGTTAAGCTTCTGACTCTTGATTTTAGCCCAGGTAATGAATTCATGGCTTTGTGGGTTTGAGCCCCACATAAGACTGGCAGCATGAAGCCTGTTTGGGATTCTCTCTCTCTCTACTTCTCTCTCTGTCCATCCCCCATTTGTGCTATCTCTGTCTTTCTCAAAATAAATAAACTTTAAAAAGAAAAAAAAATGCTTAAAAATAGAACTATCCTACCACCCACCAACAGCACTACTAAGAATTTATCCAAAGGACACAGGAGTGCTGATTCATAGGGGCATATGAACTTCAATGTTTATAGCAGCGCTTTCAACAATAGCCAAATCAAGGAAAGAGCCCAAATGTCCATCAACTAATGAATGGATAAAGAAGATGTGGTCTATATATACAATGGAATACTATGTGGCAATGAAAAAGAATGAAATCCTGCCATTTGCAGCAACATGGATGGAACTGGAGGGTATTATGCTAAGTGAAATAAGTCAGTCAGAGAAAGACAGATATCATATGATTTCACTCATATGTGGAACTTGAGAAACTTAACAGACAACCATGAGGGAAAGGAAGGGGAAAAAACAGTTACAGAGAGTGAGGAAGGCAAACCATAAGATACTCTTAAATATAGAGAAGAAACTGAGGGTTGATAGGGGGTGGGGGAGAGGGGAAAATGGGTGATGGGTATTGAGGAGGACACTTGTTGGAATAAGCACTGGGTGTTGTATCTAAGCGATGAATCACGGAATCTACTCCCCAAACCAAGAGCACACTGTACAAAATGTATGTTGGCCAATTTGACAATAAATTATATTTTAAAATGTCTTAATATTAATTAATAAAGAATAAAATGTGTATTCCTTAAAAAAAGAAAAAATGCAAGGAGAAAAACATAAAAAAGAAGGTCAGATAAAAAACACAAAATAAGATAGAAATAAATCCAAATGCATCAATGATTACAATAAATTTAAATGGACTAAATGCTCCAGTTAAAAGACAGAGATTATCAATCAAGATTAAGAACAAATTCTAACATTAGTTATATGCTGCTTAAAAGAGTTACAACCAAAGCATAAGCATACTAAAGATTGAAAGTGATAGGACAGAAAAAGTCACCATGAAAATAATGACCTATAGAAAGTTAAGCAGCTGTAGTAATATAAAGCCAAAACAGACTTCAAGGCAAAAAACATTTGTAGAGATAAAGAGGTCACAAAATAATGGTAAAATGCTCAATTTACCATGAAGACATAATTCTAAAGTAGTAAGCATCTAATAACACAGCTTCAAATTATATAAAGCAAAACTTGATACAAATTACATGAATAAATATGCAACTCACCCATTAGAATAGAGTAGCATAAAAATACAAGATACCTAACATTAAATTAAAAAAAGTTTTTTTTGTAGGGGTTCCTGGGTGGCTCAGTCAGGTGACTGTCCAACTCTTCTTTTGGCTCAGGTCATGATCCCAGGGTCATGGGATCAAGCCCTGCATTGGGCTCTGCACTGAACATGGAGATTGCTAAGACTCCCTCTCTCTCTCTCTCTCTCTCTCTCTCTCTCTCTCTCTCCCTCCCCCTCTCTCTCTCTCTCCCTCCCCCTCTCTCTCTCCCCCCACAATACCTCTACAGTCATGCTCTCTCAAGGTAAAAAAATTATAAAACTTCGTGGAGAAAATTATAAAACTACCCAAGTGAAGCCTAGACTAAGGAAATAACATGTTTATAAATTAGAAGATAAAATACCATAAAGATGTCAATTGTATCCAAACTGATCTAGATTTAATACACTTCTAATCAAAATCCCAATTGAATTTTTGTTTCATTTCTTATGTTTTTGTTTTTTTCTGTGAGTATCAACAATTTGATTCTATATTTTATATGAAAATGCAAAGATCAACACCAAGGTAGGGGTATTTACCTTACTAAAAAAAAAAAGCTTAATAATAAAGGTAGAGATATTAAATTAGTGTCATATTAGTGCAAGACTAGACAAATAGAAAAGTAGAAGAGAATAGAGAGACAGAAACAGACTCTTACATATATAAACCCATATATATATATGTGTGTGTATATATATATGTGTGTGTGGCAGGTGGAATTACGTATCCAGGGAGAAGATGGACTTTTTAATAAATGGTGCTGGTTCAGTTGATTATTGGTATTAAAATAAAATGAAATCAGACGTCTACCTCTCTACACACAATCAATTCTAGGTGTATTAAGCCTCTATATATGGAAGGCAAAAAAGAGAAAAATGTAAATAACATAAAGAATACATTTTTGACTAAAGGTTAGGTAAGGTCTTCTTAAAGCAGAAAAATGTGAAGGCAAAAAGGAAAATATTAATTAACATGAAGATTAAGAACATTTATTTATGAAAGGATACCAAAATACTCTCCCAAACTGAAAGAAGATATTTGCAACACGTGTAACTGACAAAGGATTAGTTTCTAAATTATATCAAAAGTTCCTTAAGAAATTTTTGTATTCATAATAAACTCTTTTTTAAAGTGTTTAATTGAAATTCTAGTTAGTTAACATACAGTGCAATATTTAGAACATTTTTAATTGAAATTTTTTAACTTAAAAAAAAAAAACTCAGTTCACTCATTTCTCCCTCTCTCCACCCCTGCCTCTTGCAACCACTAATCTGTTCTCTGTATCTATAAGCTTCATTTTTGTCTGTCTAGATTCTACATATTAGAGAGATCATGTGGTATTTGTCTTTTTCTGGTTAACTTACTTCACTTAGCATAATTCAAGGCCCACCCATGTTATTGCAAATCGCAAGATTTCATTCTCTTTTTTGGCCAAACAATATTCCTTTGTACAGATACACCAAAATTTCTTTAGCCATTCATCTATTGATGGGAACTTAGGTTGTTTCCATATATCAGCTATTATAAATAATGCTGCAGTGAACATGGAAGTGTATAAAAATTTTCAAATTACAGTTTTTGTTATCTTCAGACAAATAGTGAGAGGTGGAATTGCTGGATCATATGGTGGTTCCATTTTTAATTTATTTTTAAGAGGGCTTCACACCCAGGGTGGAATCCAGTGTGGGCCTTGAACTCATGACCCTGACATCAAGACCTGTGCTGAGGTGGAAAGTCGGATGCTTAACCAACTGAGCCACCCAGGTGCCTCATATTTTTAATTTCTTAAGGAACCTCTGTATTGTTCTCCATATTGGTTGCCCCAGTTTACATTCCCAGCAACAATGCACGAGGATTCCCTTTTCTCCACAACCTCACCAACATTTGTTATGCTTGACTTTTTGGTAATAGTCATTTTATCAGGTCTAAGTTGATATCTCATTGTGGTTTTGATTTGTTTGTTCTTGATGATTAATGATGTTGAGCATTTTTATTTATTTATTTATTTTTAAAAATATTTTTATTTATTTCTAGGAGAGAGAGAGAGAGAGACAGCGTGAGCAGGGGAGAGTCAGAGAGAGAGGGAGTCACAGACTGAAACAGGCTCCAGGCTCTGAGATGACAGCACAGAGCCCAACGCAGGGCTCGAACCCACGAACCGCGAGATCATGACCAAAGCGAAAGTCGGACGCTTAACTGACTAAGCCACCCAGGCGCCCCAATGGTGTTGAGCATTTTTAAATGTATCCATTTACCATGTGAATATCATCTTTGGAAAAATATCAATTTAGATCTTCTGCCATTTTTCAGATTATATTGTTTAGGGGGCACCTGGGTAGCTCAGTCAGTTAAGCATCTGACTCTTGATTTTGGCTCAGGTCACGATCTCACAGTTCCTGAGT